AGGGAACTCATCATGGGTAGAGAAGCTCTGGGAGAAATGAATGAAAATGGAGAACTCTTCGCCGACTTCTGCGCCTTTAATGAACTAGTGATTGGTGGCAGCGTATACAAACACAAGGATATCCACAAGGCTACATGGGTGTCACCAGATGGGCGAACCAAAAACCAAATCGACTTCATCTCAATCTCAAGGAAGTGGAGGCGCAGCCTGCTGGACACGAAAGTAAGAAGAGGAGCAGACATTGGCTCAGACCACTATCTCGTACAAGGCACAATCCAAATCAAATTAAAAGCTTTCAGAGAATCAGCAGCTGCAGATAGGCCACAAGCCAAGTTCAACACTCAAAAACTGAAGGACCAGGACACAAAGGATATCTTCACTGCAAGTATAAAAGACAAAGCCGAGACACAAATCAACAACGGCGAAGAGGTCAGCGTCGAAAAGCACTGGAACAACTTGAAGACAGTATGGAGTCAAACATGCATGGAAGTTCTAGGCAGAAAGAAGAGACAGGACAAACAGTGGCTCACTACGGACACTTGGAAAATAATAGAAGAGAGAGGGATGGTGAAACAAAAGATTCTCCAGTGCACCGACGAGCAACAAAAACAGGATTTGAATGCAAGCTACAATACACTGAACAAAGGAGTAAAGAAGAGTGCCAGAGAAGACAAAAGAAAGTATTATGAAGCCATGGCCAATGAAGCAGAACAAGCAGCAGGCAAAGGAGACCTCGCAACACTCTACCAAACAACTAGGTACCTCTCAGGCAAAAATTCGTCACAAATTAAGCCAGTGAAGGATGACAACGGAAAGTCAATCACCAAAGAAGTGGAGCAAAGGAAACAGTGGGCTGAACACTTCAAAAGACTACTAAATCGACCACCACCTACAACGCGCCCAACAATACCAACAACGGAAGCAGAATTACCAGTGAACATCAACCCCCCGAGGAGAACAGAAGTCCTGAAGGCAATCAAGATGCTGAAAACTGGAAAAGCAGCAGGACCAGATGGAATCCCAGCAGAGGCATTGAAAGTGGACCCAGAGACAACAGCGGACTTGATGACGCCACTACTGGAGAAGGTGTGGAAAGAAGGCAAAGTACCCGACGATTGGAAGAAAGGCTACTTATTCAAACTACCAAAGAAAGGAGACTTAAGTCAATGCAAGAACTGGCGCGGAATTATGCTCCTGTCCATCCCAAGCAAAATACTAAGCCGCATCATCCTGGAGAGAATCAAACATGCCAACCTGGATGAAAAACTTCGACCGGAACAGGCTGGATTCAGGAGAAACAAGTCATGCATTGATCAGATCGCCACATTACGGATCATCATTGAACAAAGCTTGGAGTGGCAGTCACCTCTCTATCTCAACTTCATCGACTTTGAAAAGGCCTTTGACAGCGTCGATCGAGAGGTGATTTGGAAACTACTTCGCTACTACGGGGTGCCACCGACAATTATACATCTCATCCAACAACTGTACGACAATGCTGCATGCCAAGTAATCCACAATGGGAAACTTACGGAACCCTTCGAAGTGAGGACAGGAGTAAGACAAGGCTGCCTACTATCGCCAATGATTTTCTTGATTGCAGTAGACTGGATAATGCGACAAACAGTGGGCAATGAGGAAACAGGCATAAAATGGACACACACAAAAAACTTGGAGGATCTGGACTTCGCCGATGATATATGTCTGATTTCCCACAAACTGGAAGACATGCAAGCGAAAAGCAACAAGTTAGCAGAAGAAGCATCAAAGATAGGACTTCAGGTGAACATAGATAAAACAGAGGTGATGAAAATTCCTGGGCAACACCATCAACAGCAACAACAACAACTGACAACAATCAGCATAAATGGGAGGAACCTGAAAGAAACAACCTCCTTTACCTACCTTGGAAGCATCGTTTCAACTACAGGCTAACGGAACTGACGAGGATATCAAAGCAAGAATCGGAAAAGCAAGACAAGCTTTCACTACTCTCAAGTCTGTGTGGAGATCAACAACACTCAGCATCAAAAATAAGATCCGGATTTTCAACTCCAATGTGAAGTCAGTGCTACTATACGGATCAGAGACTTGCACTGCGCGTCATAAAGAGCATCTCAAACAAACTACAGACCTTCATTAACAGTTGTCTTCGCTCAAAACCACTCAAGATCAGATGGCCAGCCAGAAAAGATCAGCAACAGGGATCTTTGGGAGCGAACCAACCAGGAACCGATTGTGAAGCAAATAGGCAGGAAGAAATGGAGATGGATTGGCCATACTCTGAGGAAACCATCAAGTGACATCACTAGACAAGCCATCGCTGGAGTGGAACCCGAAAGGGAAGCGGCGAGTTGGTCGTCAGTGCAAGGGTGACTTGGAGGAGGTCATGTGAAGAGGAGATGAAAACGTGTGGGCAGACTTGGAGCCAGGTGAAGACTCTAGTAGAGAACAGAACGCAATGGAGACGCAGGGCTGAAGCCCTATGTTCCTGTAGGAATTAAAGGATACAATAATAATAATAATCTGTCATAAGTGTATTGTATGCAGCACAGAAGTGGTGAATATTCTTGCACAATATACACGTATACCGTAAATGTACAGGAAGCACATCAGATCGTAGGAAAAGATAAGCACCAAGGAATTCCGACAGTCAGCGAACCAGACAACAACCTATACCTACCAAATATGCAGGAGGAAATGGAAATGATTTGGAAATACACTAAGGAAAGTGCTGTGTGGTATTGCAAAACAGGCCCTCAAGTGGAACTCGAACGGAAAGCGACGTTATTAGTGCCCATAATTAACACGGAGAAGATCCATTATAATAAAGGTTTTTGTATTTCCCAATGAATGAAAAACAAAACGATATTGTTTTTTTTTTTGTTTTTCATTCATTGGGAAATACAAAAACCTTTATTATAATGAATATCATATACCCAATGCCCAAATTTTTTCAAACCGTTAAAAGTCAACTTGGTTTGGACATATATAACGGAGAAGATCCCATGAAGAGGAAGTGAAAGTGTGCGGAAAGTCCTGAATACGAATGAAACCGAGGTCAAAGAATCGAGTGCAATGGACACATGCCGCTGAAACTCAAATTTCCACTTGAAGCTCAAAGAATTAATACTAATACTAGTTATTTTAAACAAAAAAGAGATAGTAAATGAAGGTGTTTATTTTAGTTTAGCGTAAGCAAAAAGAAAACTAAAGAAAAGGGGGATCGATAACGCTACAAAATGAAGACAGAACTTCTAAGTAAGTCGTTCATGAAATGAAAACAACGTGGACTGAACTAGGGAGAAGATTTTTGAAGAGCGATGTATATAAATATATGTCGGTTTTTAGTGAAGAATAAAAGCTTGATTTTGATGCTCTGTAGAAATACCACAAGTTTGACAACAAACACGTGCTAAAAAGGGCAGTATTCGCAAAAATGGAAGCTTTAACCTATAATGATGGTCAAAATAGCTGTTCTCAGTTTACAACTCACATATCCGCACTATTTATACTATTTATTGCGATAGAATGAATTGAAAGTCAATATACAGTCCTATTAAATAGAATGTTCCAAAATTAGTTTCTGCCTTAAAGAAGAAACAATTTATTTGTTATTCTTCAGCAGAAACATTTTGTCAGTTATACGTCGTATCATTTGCTTGAGTGAATAGTATAAGGAATAGAAAAGTTGATTAGTTATTCTTATAGATAACTCAGTTAAATTTCAGAGGAAGCTGATGACTGACTTTAGGATTTCAGAGGAAACTTATGGTTAACTTAGGTACCACTTATTATAGGAACAAAATGTTTTTATTAGACAATTAATGTAACAATTATCTCTTATTGCTAACTGGCAGTTTCTTTAATAATATTGGCATTTGGGAGAATCCAGTGATGGCTTGAGGCGTTTAACTTTTGTATTCATTCTCCACTTAAAACAGGTAAATCAACAGAGTTACGTAAAATTGAAAGGCTTTAATCTCCTTATATCTAACGGGTCGAACTTCTGAACAGTACACATACATTTGATGAGTACCCAGATACTGCAGCTATGCTGAAACTACGTCCAGTTCCAGTCTATTGAAATTGATACAACTTTGTGAATAAGGGAATGGTCAAAATATATATTTATTTATTTCCTTTCCTCACGTTACAAGTCGTTGCAAACTAGTAGTGCATCGCCACCTTACAGTTGTAAGGGATTGATCGAATGTATTCAAGAGTGTTTACATTTCGTCAACCTTTTCACTTAAAAAGATTGTGTCACCTGTGTGTTCTAAGTCAACACAGTGTTTCATATAATTGATTTTGTGCGTCGGTGGCGTGGTGGCAGAATGCTCGCCAATCACGCATGTGGTCTGGGGTTCGATCCCCGGCCGACGCATTCCTTTACCTCACTAAGCCGGTAGTAGTGCCGACAAAGGGGGAAGGTTGGGCATGAGGTTAGCAACCCCATCCTGTAAAAATGAACGCCAGTGCTACCGAAACCTTAAGCCTCTAGCTTGAAGCCCCTTGCTAAACTGGGAACGTAAAGGAATAAAAAAAGTGATGAGTTATTTGTTTCCAAATATTGTAAAAATGGGGAGAGTGGAAATTTCTGAACTTTTGCTTTTGTGTACCAGTACAGTTTGTATGTATTCTTGAAGAAAGTGATGTTTTCTTTGTAAAGTTAAGAATACACCTTACCGATAAACACTAACGCACACATAACCTACTTCAAAGCAATTTGTAGATTGACGTGTATGGTAGTATGGATACCATCATAGGTAATGTCGTACGGCTAAGCTAAACAAACAAGATGCACACCTGAGCCAACCATTTCAGTTGTCACACTCAAGGCTCAAAGGTTAGGCTGGCTATCATCAAATGTTTAGTCCAGTAACTCCTCAGTTAATATTTTGATATATATGGTATATATCACTGAATATTTCCTGTACAATGCTTTCAAACAAAAATATCAAAGAGCATCAAAATATACTGAGAAACTCCACACTTACTCTGCACTTCCGTAAACTGCAGCACAGTGTAACACATTTTGACCAGAATTGTTTAAAATTGTTAGGTCAGGATTATGACGTAACAGCAGTCTCACTAAACCAGTATGTTGACTGGAAACAGCATCATGTAGTGGTGTGTCACCATCGCAGTCCTAGAAAAACAGGAGAAGAGAATATGCTACGGTGAAACTAATAAAGAAGTGACAAAATGAGAATTTGAAGTACGTAACGCATTATGAGAAAAAATGAAAAAACTCCCATTTTTAATATGACTACTAATATGTGGAAAAAATGTGAATGTAGAAAACTAAGCGATATTCTCCTTTTGGGTATATACAACAGTATATAGAACAATTAGACCGACATCACAGGGAACTTTATATCTGGGCTTTATGCACTATACTTCACACCATTACTAAAGTCAATTCCGACTATTCTGACTGAGGCCGTTAGGATCCACATTAAGAAGGCTAATTTATGTGTCCAAAAGAAGCTAGTTCGGGCGTTGTCCTTACCTTGACCTTCTAGGTTCGAATGACCCTCAACTTTTTATAGAAATTTACTCAATTTTAGTTGATATTCTACTTGCTATTATATTTTTATTATTATAATTTATGCATCTTTAATGAACTGTATTTCCACTGATATTACTTAACAAGTCTATATTATTTAAAAAACACTAATATTGTTATTGATTAGAATATTCTATGTTTATAAGCATATATATATAGTTGTAGAGCCAGAAGAGGAAATTGTCGGAAGGGGTATTCTTTGCTCGATGATTTTACTTTTTATATATATGTCTCAATGAATATTTTCGCAATAATACTATTATTGAAACTGTGCACTAACACCTCCATTTTAATGATTGCTGTTACACGTCATTTTGGCGACCAGTTGTCCAAGAAGCTTCCAACAGGAGGTGTATACTGTTGAATTCATATTCAATTTGTATTCACCTACACTTAATGCAGAAGTTATCAGTAGTGTTTACCATGAGATTCAACACAAAGAAAAACTGCAAAAATAGAGATTAACGGTAAGTGGTTATCATTCGAAAGAATCATTATTTCTACATGACTGACTTCTACATGAGGTGAAAATAGGTATTTCTCTTAAATAGTATATTTTCAGCGCATTTCACGAAGCAGTCATTTTTCAGTGTCTTTTCACATGTAATAAAAAGAAAGGATAAGAAAGAATTACTCTATAACAGTAGGAAAAAAGGCATTTATGAGAACTCAATAAAATTCTATCCTCGCAGGACGCTGTTTTCATATGCCTTAATTAATTATAATAAATTTGATTGAACTAAAAAGGATATGATACATCTACACAAACACTGAAATTTATAATGCGCTGATAGGTTGTTTGCACTGTGATCAAAAGCTAAATAAAAAATCCATTGAAACAAAGGTATGCAGGATTGTAAATTATAAATGAAATGTCAGTAAGGTTTATTTACAGTAGTTGCTTAATGAGATAAAACATCTAAGTCATTTTATGTGTTCCGTGCATATATTTTTGCGCAAATGTTGTAAAGGCTGCTGCATTCGGTAACCGACGCTTACAGTTTTCCAGAGTTAACGGAGTAGGTGATAATGCTATGTTTTAAAACGCCTAATTCTTAATAGGATATGGATGAAAACATAACAAACAACAACTACATAAAATGCTATAAAAATGCTACCAAAACGAATTAGCTATAGACTTTTGCAATATTGACAAGGACAGCATAAAATCTGTGAAGTTCAAATTCAATAAGCAAGATACACATAACAAGAAGACTCGCTTCAGTGAAGAAAATAAGCGGGACATGCTAGCAAATTTTTGTTCAGATAATTGAAAATGAATAATAGTTTATAATCTAAAAAGATGTAGAAACAACAAGGTGCAATAAAGTCTCTTCAACTATTAAAGAGTAGCAGCTTTGAAATTTTTTAATGCTTTCTTGCATGTAAATGTTGTGTTCATTTATGAATTGTTATAGAATTGTTAAGAATGTCAAAGCGAAACAGAATGAAGAGCACTGGATCTAGGTAGCATAATTTATATTTAATACAAGTTATCATCGATGCCTGATATCATCAATTTTACGAAAAACTTTGAAGTTGTTCGATTAACATAGAGCACAAAGCATTATGTTTGATAATTTATCGCTCTGTATTATTCTGCATAACCATTGAGAAGAGAATTCAAGTCTGTTAGCAGACCGACTGTTAAACATTTGGTCAAGTATAATTTCCATCTGTTCAATGAGTGTCTTTTTTCGAAACTATGAGAATGATTCACACAAGAGGAAAAAGCAAACGTGGCTCTAAGAATTTATGCACAGCAAGGGCAACGACGATTAAACTTTTCAATGTAATTTATATGTGTAAAATAGAAAATGGTTATCCTGACAAATTTATCAAAAAACACATGACAAAGAAATCGGAAAAGGACTACTCACCGTCTGTAAACAAGAAGCCACTTTATATACGACTATAATTCATTGGCGATATACCAAGCGAGATAATTACGAAGAAATTAAGAAAATCAGTTCAAAGAACTTTTAATGCTGGCGAACTACACGTATTATTCCCTACACGACTGATGGTGCTACCTCGACTGAAAGATGAAGTACCTAGACTAGCCACTTCAAATTGTATCTATCATTTCAACTGCGCTTGTGGAGCGAGTTATATTGGCCGTTGCTCTAGGAACTTGATTTTTCGTGCTCGAGAACATATCCCACTATGGCTAAGTAAGGGTGTAGTTAAAACTATTAACAGCGCGATAACAGACCACCTGGTCACAACCGGTCACAAAGCCAGCGTAGAAGAATCCTTCCCTATAATATACCGGGTGTCTAACAAATTACCAAAATCGTCGAAGCACCACATGCTCCAAACAGCAGAGGCTATTGCAATTCGCCTCAAACAACCAGTGCTCTGTGTTCAAAAGAAACAAGTGCTCTGTCCAGCCCCTACTATCGCCCTGGCCCTCAGTAGAAACTATAAACTCAGGAATTTGTAATATTATCTTTCCTAATTCTTCTGACATTCAGCTTCTTTTATGTTGATGTTATTCAGCTGTAAGCTATTGATATTATTGATTCGACGTTATTTGAACAGCAACATTATTGCTGTTCATCACACTAATTCAATCATTCATTCACTATAATGTATATATAACTGTAGAGCCTGATGATGAATTTATCGAAAAGAGTACTCTTTGTTCAGTATCCATTCTTTTAAACAGAAACGTTGAATTTTATGTCCTGCAGTGTGTTAATTTTAATAAAGCCTGGTCGCTATGTCTCATTCGATGATAAAAAATTCCTCTCCACTACTATCATCTGTGTAAGGTTTTCGATTTCTCTTATCTTTTCAATACCTTTCGACTGAACGCTCTTCTGTCTTGTTTTACATATGAAAAGACGTTTCCTTATTCCTTTGTTTTTGGAGTGAAATGTAAGATTTCGAACTTTTTGAAGTTTCAGTAGCAATTGTATTATTTTTACGGAGTGTAGTGACTAGTTTTACACAGGTTTGTTGTTGGCTAATAAGTGCATTGACCAGAACTTGAACCTGAAGCAGTTTGCTATTCAGTCACTGACTCACCGAAAATATATTTGCACGATGTCAAATCCAATACTTATAGAGTTGTCTCCATTATTTCATCAGTCAGTACTGTTTTACTGCTCCTAGAAATAGGTTTTCAATCACCTAGTTTACGGTGCGCTCTTCCGCATTGTGTACATCACATTATTTATTGTTTTCAAAAAATATAGATATAGTTGTTTGACTTTAAAAAATGACCCCAGAGTAAAAGCTTTATTTTCTCTCTAATTATCTCCTATTACAAGTGGAGAAATATTTTTAGTAGATTAAGTTATTTTTACTTCATAGGAGTTATACTAGTGTTTAATGATAATATACATATGCAACACCTCTTTTCAAAAACACGTCATTTCCAAGTCGTGCAACCGTGTTTCTGTTACGTAAAAAGACAGTTACATTGAAATTAGCCAGACTATAAACACATGACGCTAAAATAACAAAAATGTTGTTTAAAGGAATTCGAAGTGGAAGAAATGTTTAATAAAGCACTAATAAAACCGAAAAATATTCCCATGATTCACAAATTAGTTGTCCTAAACGGTAAAACATCCAACTAAAATTGTATACTCAGTAAGGGGAATTAATGTTTCAATGAACCTTATAAACAAGGATTTCAATATTGCAAAAATGTTCATTCAGACATCTATAAAAACAAAATAATCGAGCAAAGAATATTCTTTTCGATAAATTCCTCTTCCAGGCTCTACAATTATATATATGTTTGTATACACAGAATATTTTAAATTAGTTGTTGAGAGAAATTATATTGAATACAAACAGTTCTCCGAAAATTCCGTTTGTCTAACAGAGTAAACACTTATTATTGATAAAAGTATAAAACTTGGGCACTGTGGTAGAGTATAACTCCATAATGGATAAGATATGATTATGAGCAATAGTTTGTGCTCGAAACGTCATCAGTTAATATAACTGTACAACACTGTGTGATTTATCAAAATAAAATCTTATCCATTATAGAGTAAACACTTAGTATTAAATGTTAACAACAATCTGTTACGAGGGCGTCTAAGAATAAATGATAACTAAGATATTGACCAAGGTCGGGTCGTTTATCAAATGCACAAAGCTTTGAGATTGAACGATGGTTACCATAGAAAATCTAGTTAGTCACGCATTGAATTTGACCATAACCTCTAGCGAATTGTAATTTCATTGCTTATAGAAGAAGAAAAAAGAAAGTTAGCAGAAACGTTTAAAAGTGTTATCGCCACCAAAATTTAGTTATATCCGGGATAATTTAAACATGAGATAATATACAAAATTCGTTATTTTTTGGGAGAAAAATTTTCTAGTCCATTTAGTTACCTATAATACAAATCCTCTTGAAAGAAAGAATCAACATCTATAATTGTGTTTTCTTCTTGGTTAATCCTACTTAATGCCTAATGTGTAATTACATTTTTTTTCTTAAAGTTATCGTTTCATTTTTAAAATAATAAAAAAGGGGGTGAGGTGGGGAAGGAATAAGGTAGAAATCTACTAGTGACCGAATAAGATCTATAAGTTTATAATAAGTCATAGAATTA